GTAGAGGAGAAATAGATCGCCGCTAATGCGTCTAACGGATAGAAGCCCAGTTGTTAAAGTCGCGTTGGAAAGGGAAGGTCCCTAAATCCAAGGACGGATTTTGTAGCGGCCCTCTGCACGCGCCCAAGGCGGTCACGATCACGGATGAGATCGGAGTGTGCAACTTGGCTGCCGTACTCTAATAGAGGATGTACGTTCCTTGAATAAGAGGAAAATCGTCCTTTAGAATACGGGGAAAACACTTTTATGAGGTTCAAGACACGAAAGGTAGCCTTACTGGCTAAATAGTTGTGGTAAGAGGGACAAATTGTTGTTTAGCTAGAAACCAAGAACTTTGTATTGGCCCACTTGGAATAGAATGTGGGAACGGTCTATCGTAAAAGGGTAGGATAGGTGATCATTGAATCCCAACACTTGTCATTGTTGATTGGAAGATTCCATTCTAGTGATCAGCTTTGGGTAGCATCAATTGACGCATGTAAAAGAGGAGCATCTATATCCCAGATGGTGGCATCGTCGGCGTACGTCACGATTCTTGATGACACTACATCGGGTAAGTCATTTATATAAATAAGGAAGAGAATGGGACCTAGAACGGATCCTTGGGGGACATCGGTTGTAATTGGGCTGGGCTTTGATGAAGATTTACCAACCCCTGACAGCAAATGAGCAATTCAGTTCAGTTTTTACAACCATCAACCATACACTTTCCTGCGCCGATTTGGATTACCGTCTTTTGGTGCCCCATTTGGATAAAACAGCAGGATGAAGATTGGAATGTTGAAAGCAAATCCAAGTGGAAGATGGTGAATTCATATGGAATGGTGTTAGGAGAATAATGAGTGGATGCACGAGCGCCGCTGTTCGCGACATCCAGCCATATCACTCAGTGCATCTAACCACCGGTGACCATCATCCCGAGGTCCCCAGCCAGGGAGTCTAATAAGGCCTATATGACCTAGTCTCCTGGTTAGGATTTTCATACCCTCATGCCAGGTCTTCGTTTGACCACCCTTGACTCTTTTCCAACCGCTGTCTGCCTCGGAAGACATCGCTCGCCGTGGCAACCTATCTGGTAACATGCGTACTACATGCCCCAAACAACGTTATCTATGGAGGTCGATCACTTGCTACAGTGGACGACCTCGACTGCCTAAAACTCTACGCCTAACCTCAGCATTGCTAATCCGGTTACCCCACTAGACTCGTGCAATGCGACGCAGACAGCGGTGTTCGAACACCGACAATCTATTTTTATCCTGTTCCCGTATATGGCGAAGTCTCTGCACCTTAAAGCAGTACTAGCCGAACTGCTGAGTGATTAGAGAGGGAACTACGAGTAAGTGCTAATAAGGTGTCTACATTTGCGTGTGTTGCAAGTTTGTAGGGATGTGTGGGATCTTGTCAAATGCCTTCATAAAGTCAGTGAATACGGCATGAGATATCTTGCCGGAATCGTAGGCTTTGGTCAGGCTATCCATGACAGTGAGCATATTGGGGATGCAAGACCTGCCAGGTAGAAATCCGTGGAAACGAGAGAGAAAGTAATTGACCCTAAGATGCTTCAGGATTTCTTCTTTTATAAGACGCTCGAAGATTTTTCTGGGGATGCTGGTAAGGGAAATAGGACGATAGCTAACAGGGAAGCGTCTGCCACCTTTTTATAGATGGGACCAATCACAGTTTCTTTCCAGCTAGTGGGAAAGATTCCCTCGTCCATACTGCGTTGGAAGAGACGAGTATACGGGTTAGGACACCAGGTGATTCGACCAGTAACCTGGGGTGTATATTATCAGATCCCATGGAGCAGTACGGATTAATGCTCCGGAGTCTCCTTTCAACCTTATCTTGTGAGAAAAGGATGGAGCCTAGGGGTCAGTTTGTATCTATCGGCTGCAGTATGGGGTGATTGAACACCGAAGGGGAGTTGGTTTTCTGGAAGTGTGATCGGAAGGTACAAAATGCATACTGAACACGGCTACACTGGCGTTCACGCTGCCCAAAAAAGCTTGCAACCTACCTGGATCTTCACTCAACTGCACAATGTCGTCTGCATACTCTAGATCGGACAGTCTACCACCTGGAAGTAAATCGATGCCGCTATCCCCGCACGAGGATAGGGCTGTTTCAAGAATTAAATCTGTAACAGTTACATAGAAAAGGAGAGAGAGGGCAACCCTGACGAACACCACTTTCCGTGGTGAACTCGGGCTAAAAAGTACCGTAAGCTTCGGCTGTTAGTATAAACGAGTTGTAATATTGAAATTAACTTCTCGGACACAGCCTTGAGGGAAAGGCAGAGTTTAGAGTAGTCGATTGAAATGAAGGCCGCTTTCAGATCCAAAAAGACAGAGATAGTGGGTCAACAAAAAGAGTGTCGATGTTCCAGACTTTGGCGGAGAATGAAGATGTGGTCTATACAACATTGACCAGGTCTGAGGCCAGCCTGATTCTCACACGTACACTCTTCTCGTGCGCAACTCAATCGTCAGAGTATGGTCTAAGTGAAAGGTTTAGAGACGATCTTGATTAAACTTATTCCTGTAGTTTTCATGCGAGGATCTGTTGCCTTTCATGTAAATCGGTATGATAGCCGATTCACAACATTCAGTTAGTACCTCTTCTCTCCCACACTTAGCCCAGGAGTTTTGTTAACTCCGAAAACAAGGCTGAGCCGATGGGAAAAGTCTGTCTAGGCCAGAGGCCTTATGCCTTTTGAGGCTTATTTCCCGGGAAACCTCCATTTCAGATGGAGTACTAGCGTCAACTGGGAGTATTTGCCCAGTCGAGGTAGGGGTGGTAAATCAAATGCCGAAGGGAGCCAGCTGGGATGAGCCTTGAAATTTTCAGCCCAAGACAGCGTTGCTGATCGTGAATCAGTGTGCCATCGGATTCCTTAGTTACCTCACGCCTATTTTCTCAGGACCTGTATTCCTAATTAGACGGAAAAGATTGCGACTATTACCAATAGCCGCAGCTTTCTCCATTCTTCACACTTTCCTATCCACCACTTCTCGCGGTCATTCCTCAAGCTCTTGATGGCTTTTGAGGGCTTTACGCGCTGTCATATGTGGCATTAGCACGGAGGGTTCTGCGGGCGTCCAGCGGGGCAGCCGAAGTCGATGAGATTCATCGTTTGTGTATTGAGCCGTCGCCACGGTCCGATGTTTTTATCTATATTTGCAAAGCTTCCTTGATTTGCTTCCTGTGTTCATTGAGTCATTGAACAAGGATAAAGCGTGAGGGTCAACCGGCACAGAACGAAGCGTCAATGCTTGTTCGTCGTATCAGTGTATGCACCGACTGATCGCAGTGCACCTGAAATCAAGGATGAATTCCACAAGAACCTTTCTCAATTACTCCATAGTGTTCGATCAACGGAAATCGTAGTGGTCACCGGAGACTTCAATGCTTGAGTGGGATCCCTAGACGAATCAGAAAGGCTTCTTGGCAGACCACATGCAATCCCAACCAACCGGACGGACAACGGAGATCGCCTATTCCAACTCTGCGCGGATCACCGATTGTTCCTGTCAAACACGTCACCGCCTTACATGAAAACCGCCAACCTATTCACAGCACTGGAACCAGATCGACCACATCGCCATCAGTTACCTCTGGAGAGGGTCGATTCAAGACTGCCGTTCTTACTGGTCCACATCGGTGGATACGGATCATTCTTTGCTACGAGCCAAATTCTCCTTACGCCTGGCAAACAACCGCAAAACAGCCACCGAAATCGGATTCCCGCGATACAATGTCAGCGATAGCTGCAAATCGGCCTTCGAAGCGGAACTCTCCGATCTCCTATTAGTTCAATCACCACCCGATGGACTCAATGAACACAGGAAGCAACTCAAGGAAGCTTTGCAAATATAGATCAAAGCAACATGGAACCCTGGTGCATTCGCAGTGTGTGCCGCTTCAGTTCGGCCAGTACTTCTATGCGGCACAGAAACGTATTTATTAAGAAAACAGTATAGATATAGGCTGTCCGTGTTCAAGCATTGCTGTCTACGCAGCATTGCACGAATGTGGCCGGGGAGGTTTAACGGGACAAGCAATAGTGATGTCAGGCGCAGAGTTTTAGGTATCCGCGTTGGTCCACTAGAGTAAGTGGTCGACCTCCATAGATTACATTGTTTGAGGCCTGTGGTACACATGCCACCAAATTAGTTGCCTCAATGCGCGTTGTTTCCCGAGGCAGGTGATGAGCGTGTGAATCGTTTTCAAAATATGACCTGGCACGGGGGTATGAAAAGCCCAAGCAGGAGACTCGCTCATAAAGGTCTCGTTAGGTTCCCTGGATGTGAATCTCGGGATCATGGTAACAAGTTAGAGACACTGGATGGTATAACTTTGTCGTAAACAGTGGCGTTTGTGCATCTTGTAAGTTTCTTTCACTGAAATGTTCCATTTTCTTTTCGACTCGTCTCAATTTTCCTGTTTTCCTACTGCTTCATCCAAACTGGGGAACCGAAAGACCGCAATCAAAACCGGCGCATGAAAGTGCATAGTTAATTATTGTACAAACTGAACTGAACCGTATCAGTGGATTCTGGTTACACAAAAGTATAATCGATTCAGAAGTAGCGATTCATGGTGTGCACAACAATCGGAGGGCAGGTTAGGAGGTAATGGCAGGGAGTCACATTACGTAAACCACCGCTTGCAGTACGAAGTGACTTACCCAAGTTAGGTGATTACTCGAAGTCTCATGGGTCTCGGTGTTCTGGTGGGTATTGTATACCGATCTCCAAGCAAAAATGCGGCCTAGGATAATAAGGTACTACCTTCCGCCATAAGATCTACGGAGCTAGGCTACAACAGATTTCACACCTCAAAGAACACAGAACTCTGCATATCCGATGCAGATCCAGAGTAGATTTAGGCTTGGATGACATTGTTGATCGAGATTGATCTTGTTCTCGATTGTAGTCAATTTTTCTCATCGATATAATGTCTACACAATTCACTCATTTCTATTATCCATTGTAGCTATGATTTGGTACATTACTGTTGTATTACTTCTTCACGCCTCACGGGTCCAAGGCCACACTCTTGAGGGTACAATTATTCCGCCCAATAACGCTCCGGCTGATTGGTTTGTGCATACAAGAATTCATGTGGATGGTTCGCAATATGTTGGCTTTGTCCAACAAAATGGTTATTTCGAAGTTTCTGGTGTACCATCGGGTTCGTATGTGGTCGAGCCAATTCATCCCAATTTCGTGTTCCAGGTGAGCAAAGCTTCCTCTGTCGGGCGGATATCTTCAAAAAATTCACTCTCAGTTTTTACAACCAATAATGGTGCACTTTCATGCGCCGGCTTTGGTGGCTGTGATCTTCAAGAAAGTCTGCAATATTTAGCCTAGCTAATGAATTCCTATTACATACTTGTTGCTTAGTTCTTGACGAACGTATACTCCGTAAAATGTCTTTAATCTTGGTCGTGATGCCTAACTGTTTACAGTTACACAGGCTTTGCAGACTTGGTAGTAGCAGTTCTATTTCTACTTCCTTAATATTCAATACAGTTGTACAATCAATTTCAAGAAGGGGCGTCCGAAGCCTTTCCTGGGAACAATGGGAAGGTAGGATATGAACTCACAATCACAGGACCCATGTGATCGTGACTTGAATCGCTCACTAGTCTTCCGCTTGATTGGTCTCCCTCAATTTTATCGTTCTTCACTCTTTACGACTGAATAAAAAAATGAGGTCATTAACTGGTGTCCTGAATCATGATACAATTTTAGGAAAATAATTGTGTTGTGTTGTGTATTTAAGCTCCCTCTCTTCTCTGAACATCACCCGGATCGACCGGTTTCTTTCAGAATTCCTACAAAACATGTCAAATAGTAAAATTAGTTTTGAACACTCGTATTTTCTGGCTACTTTCTGTGAGATTATCGATCCATGGGGCGTTTGAAATAAAACGAAAATTATGGTTTCAGCATCACCATATTAGACCAAAAAGGAATTCATTGTTCATTCATTCCTACTTGTCGTGCACAGTTAGATTCTTTTATATGCTCTCTATTTCGGACATAAATTATACGCAAGATTGTAGTAAAAGTTTTCGTCACACCTCTTACCGGATTTTTTTTACTGTCAATCGCCTCGTCTTCACTGTCATCATATTCTAAAACTAGCGTCACTATTTGCTCCATACACGTGGTATTTTCTTCTGAATGGCGGTGAAGAAACCAACATCTCCAAGGTCTTGTGAAACTGTGATGCCAATCCATACGATAATAACGGCCCATATGCATCGTTTTTTGTCGAACCGTCTGGACGGTCCACACTCATTAGAGGTGATCCTTGTTCTCCCGAAGCCCCGCAATTTTCAAAACATTTAAAGATTGTTACATGAGTGGTCCGTACTACGACGTGGGATTGTGTTCAAGCGCATTCAGGGTGAAAAGAGTTGTACGAACCACATCTACACCCTCCTTGTCGTGACAGTGATGTCCGGTTTGTTTCTACATTGAGGTGTATTGGGCACCTTGAATATTTGCTTCCATCCAAAGGACTCGTGATCCAGTGAACTGGACCTCGGTCCCCGATATACCGCGGAATCTGAGCTCCGTCCTGCTTTCTTGCAAGTGTGCCTTTCCAGTCAGAGGCATCGGTTATGTCGAATGCTGATAGCGGAAACGATGATCGCACGATATTTGCATGATTTTCTACCGTCATCTACGGCGTATATAATGATGAATGCAAATCATGGAACTTTTTTCTTTTCATAAAGATTATTGTACCGTGATTTGTTTGCACACAGTCTAACCTCAGACGTTTCTGAAATATATAAATATATATGTTGATGAATAAGAACATTCGCTTCTGTCTGTCACTTGGAATGCGACCAGTTTCGTTATCCAACAATCGAATTAATGAAAGTAGCTCTAGATATGAATATCTCTTGAGTTCCTTTATTGAACGACAGTTAGACCCTTCGCGGAACATGGTTGCCATTTGAGATGGTGTCGTTTCGTGTGGGAGAAGTTGGTGCTTGTCAGGAACAATCCGTGGTCAGCGTAAAGTTGAAGTAGACAATCTCCGTTGCCCGTCCGATTGGCTGTCGTTGAATGCTGATCGACTAGGCGCCTTTCTGCTTCGTCTGGAGCATTGAATTCTCTTGTGACTACAGCGGTGACCGTTGACTCACCACTCGAGCTGTTGAAAAAGATCCTTGTAGAATTCATCCCTGATTTCTTGCGCATTGCAATCGGTCGGGACATAAACGGACACGACACATGCGAGGTGGAGTTACTGAGCCGTACATTTTCAATAGTTTCATCGGAAACAATGTGTGCATATGTCTATCGGGAAACGAGATCAGCACCAGCTTTGAGATTTCTCGGACAAAAAACGGGAATTGGTCCGGTCCGAAAACATGATCGACTCACAGATCTACCGGTAACGAACTAATTCAGGTTGACCCTCGCTCTTGTTGAGGTGTCATTTGTCCTTTAATTCTCTCAGTTGGCAATCAGTAATAAAATACGGTGTCGTCCTTCGAGTTTATTGCGAATGGAGGAGGATTGAGATTTTGACAAACCAGTAGGTCTCTCGGTGCATATGTTTTATTTATTCAGAACTATAGTCAGAGCAGTCCTACAGAACACGTTTTTGGTATTCCGCTTATTGGCCGAATACTGCACTTGCATTAGTCAGGGTGATGACGTCACTGTGATCGACTTTCTTTGGGTTAGTCTGAGGCCCGAACTCTGCCATTGCAATGAAAATTTCGTTGTAGTTCATCCTAGTTTCCCCTAGACCAATGTCAGTGCTGGTCTTATGGGGTTCGTCGAAGTAAATCTGAAGGATTGGATTGTCAGTTGTTATAAATCTGCATAGTTGGTCCTCGTGACTATGCGGTTCGTCCCTTCTATCATTTGCCAAATGATAGTCTGCACTGAAAATAATTTATTGAGGACAATTTGTTGAACTGGATCTTTTTGAGTATTATCGTCATGTAATCGCCAATATTCATATTATGCAATGCTGATGGATCAGATTGTCTGAAAAAACGTTTCCTGTATCAGAGCGCAAACGTCAGCACAATCGTTTAGTTTTTTGGTTTCCGGATATGGTTACACGATGGTGTTTGTTACTCATTGCCTCGTAGCAGCTCTCCACTTGAACTATGCGTTGTCAGATGAAAAGTCTCCAAGCACTCAGGTACGCAGGTAAGAAAGATTGGAACGTCCAACAAATATTTGAACACCAAGTTTTCTCAAGCCTTGTCTTGAAACGTATCAACTGTCTCATACGAATAGTTCTTACTGTGTCCAGCTTTGGTAAGGATGACCAAGTACTCAACGTTGTTGTTGACAAGTAAATATTTTTCCTCTAGCAAACTAAATTATTGGAGTCTAGTGTTCCTTTTTTGCTCCACAGGATGCAAAACACGATAAGCGTTCTACACAGTTCATATGAAATCATGATATACCGTCTCTTTCTCTCTTCAATCATTAAACCTCCACATTAATATCCCACCTTTGTTCCAGACCGCTCGTGTCGATATCAATTCAAAGGGTCGTATTCGAGCTCGTCGGGTGAACGCTCCGCAACCAAATGCGGTAAAAGAACTTCCTTACCCTTTACGTCTTTCTGCCAGTGGAAATGCAGTCTATTTCAAGGTTGGTTCCCTACAAACACATTCATCAACATCTTTCTACGAGTTAAACTATACGGATCAACTTTAAATCCTATAGCTCTGCTTGTTCATTTAGCGCTGGATCTATAGGAATCCTGCTCGCAATAGTAGGTTTGACGATTTTCACTCACAATACATCCACGCGGAACCTATTTCGTTTACTCATCTTAATTGACTAATTCTCCTTAGTTATGATGTGTACTACACTCATGTCATTTACGGTAACACTTTGTTTAGATTGATCACATTACCCACTTGACCACATGGGATTGCACCAAACACATCAAACAGTATTCACCTGAAGGACCTGTTTGCTGAGCCGGATCTCACCGTTTCTAACTAGCCACTCTCCTCATCCTTTGTCTCAACCTGGAAAGTGGTCTGCACCAATCGATACCAATGCTGAAGCTAACTTCTTCACCCAAATACCAAGTCGTGGTCTGATCGTCCAGCACATTCGAATAAAGCACAGTGTGGTAGACGATGGGTCGGCATATGTGAAACCTGACCGAGCCATCATAGGCGGTGCAGAGCGATTGCCTCTTTCAGAGAATGACTGTCACCATCAAACACGCTGACGAACCTCGTCAATGCTTACCCAGTGTTCCCACCAGACAAATTCATTGTTTCAAAAACAGCGGTGATCAAATGCAGGGAGTGTTTTGGTCTCCTCAACTCGATAGACCAGATCTCGCAACCATCAAGAAAAAACATCAACAAGTGCGGCGTTGTACACCTTTCTTTTTGGGGAGAGTTAGATGTCGTGGCAACAGCATGTTACATCCTTGATGCACTTTGAAATCACCACATTTCGCGGACTCTGTGTGGACTTAAGTTTAGTTATTGTATCCTTACGACTCGTGTTAAGCTTATTACCTACCGAGATTACTTACTTTACTACGGCTGGCTCCTCGGAAAGGATTAGCCGACGCCATGAATGTCTCTGAGGGCCGCTATTCATGCTTGGCGGTTGACAGCAAGATCCTTGCAAATGTTGATCCCGTTTGTTTTCCATCCGCGAGTGCCGTACACCATCCTGAGGCTAAGTTGGTCTACGTCTTCCAATACAGTGTCCAACCGAGATTGATCGGCATGCATGACAAAACCGCAGAGACTCGATGGAAATCCAGCCTATTTCGACACGTCGCCTCAGGCTACAACCCTCGGGAATCGGTAAGAGCATAACGCATAACTCAGTTTATGGCTTAGTGAAACAGGATTGGTGACAAAAGATAACGTCACCAGCGAACATGAAGTTAACCAGCAATCCCGTTGACTCCTCTCCATAGGCGCAAATGCGCACTGGCCTCACCTTATGTACTTTTTGAGCATCCTGTTGATGATACATATACTCCAGAGTGACTGTCTATCGACAGTATCCACTGCAGCGCTAAAATCAATGTAGTTGGCCGTTGGAATTAATAGAAATGTTCTGGGTTTCATCGTAGCGTAAAGATCTGATCGACCTGTCCCTTCCCTAAACGAAAAATACCCTGGTTTAGGTACGTTCTTATTTTACGTTCTGTAACAAAGCGGTTAAATACATTAGTTGCGAAAATATTGGTCGCCAAGTCATTATCGATGAGGTTGATACCCCTGTAATTTGCGCAGATGGTTTTGTCACTGATTTGGAACGCAGATAAGTGCAATGTTGTTCAGTTTTTGGGAAAAATTTCGGTACTCCAGATGCAACGGAATAGTATGACCAATGGGTGCATTGAGTATCTGACAGACTAGATTTCAGTGTAATACCGTATTCGCCAGGGTACTTCCTGTTTATCATCGATATGATGCCGAACCGGACTTCAGATCCGTTAGGTGGATCCAAGTCGATTGCACATCGCTCTGTGACTCTTACTGGCACAATACAGCATGGCCGCGACTGACTGCGTTTGAGCAAGTGGTTGTAATTTTCGACCCATCCTTGGAGTTGTCCCTTTTTCCGGTATCAGGCGACCGTCGTGTTCTTGCACTAAAGGTAAGGGGTTTCGTCCTTCCTGTAGCGGAGTGTATGAACAGGAAAAGCTTTACAAAATCTCCGAAAGCTCCTGCTATTTCCACCCTCTGCCAATTCAAACCAACATCGTTCGCGATGATTCTTTCCTCAGCGTCTAGTTTCACCGTGAGGGGTACGGTGAGTTATAGAGTATTGGATCCCTAGCTTTGACGCAGCAATTTCGATTTTCCCGGGAAATTCACTGCTTTTTGTGCTGAGGTGTTTTACCCAGCTTTTCAAAGACAAATTCTGTGATAGATGATTTTGGCGCAGTTCATCGTGCATTTGCAGGAATCGCGACCAGTCTGGCTTTCGAGACTGGGGTGTTCCGCCGTCTGGTCGGTTCCCTTAGTGTTCCCCATTACGGCGCTGCGGCAGTTCTTAACTGATGCAGTTCATGGAGAACATAAATTTGTTCCATGTAATATGCTGTTCTGCCGTCATTGAAACGCGAATTTTGTAGGTGCTTTGCGGATGTTGGAAGCGAGTATTCGTTAACCGATTGGAGTCTGTAGACGTAATCAAGCGATTGCTATCTCTCACCTAGACCGAATTCCCTCCGGTTAGTGTTGCACATGGTCCTCTGTGAGGCCGATGTATGCGTTTCAGTTTTCTGCAACCAACACAATCTACGCTTGGAGGTTCGGTTGACTGAAATCTTTGGAGTGTGTTGTAAAAGTTATCTTTGATGTTCGGATCAGCATGTAGGCTTGGGAAGTGGACTACAATTGTGATGCGATTAAACGAATTACCTTGAAATCGAGCTACAACGTTCCCTGTTAAAATTGGTTCACAAGAGATCAGCACGCCACGTGCTCACCAGTTTACTGCCTTTAAAGCCAGAATTGTCGATTGACCGTTTTTGCTACTCACTAGAGTGTTTCCGCATGAGTTACCTGGATATGTCGGCTGCTAGAGCTAGGCACGCATACAACCAGTGTCGGTTCCGTAAGCACAGAGTGTGCGCATCTTGATGTATTTGCTGTCTATGCTCAAAAGAGTTCTCATGTTCCAACAGGCTACGTGGACTCCTGATATGATAAGATTACCCGTTTATGTTAGAGTCACTGGGAGCATGGGCACATCCCTTACTGGGGACCCCTTGGTATAATCAGTGCGCATTGTAGGGACTGTATTGATTCAAGTATACAAAAACGTGATACAAAATAGCATCCACAATGCCTTTCAGTATTTTGGTTTGAATGGCTTTTAGCGCGAGTTGCTTCGGGGTTGTCCAAACCTGAGTAGGGGGCTGCCCACACTCAGAGTGATTAACTGAAATAACCTGGTCTGCAAGGCGGAAATCCTTTGGAAGTTGGTAACCGATTTTCCGGTTCATTCCAGTTTTCATTGATCCAGGCTGTTTCCAACACTCACAGAGCTTCCAGAATAGCTGGGGATTAAAGAGATGGTAACTGTATTTGGTGGTGAAACTCGGCCGCCATAGCACTGTGTCGTTTTGGGACGAGCGTGAACAGTTACCACGTCCTGGAATACTGTCTCTACTCGTCCGCGGCTGCTCATTTGATAAGCCTGAACGCACTACTTAAGATTAGCCATCAGATCGATGGCCGTTACCCGATTGCCAGATGGCATAGAGCTCTGTTTAACCTAATGCGTGGTTGCATTCGATGTTAATGTTCCTATATAATCGACAATCTTGTATGCAACCCTGCCGCTTGTAACTATGTATTCGTTCTTGGTGTGTCGTCTACTCCAAGAGGGCGGATTTCTTGTGACTTACCGACGATCCGATCGTCTGAAGTTCGTTCTAACGAGGAATAGGCGATGCTCAGAGCGCAGAGCCAAAAGTCGTTCCCGTTTTCCGAGCGATGGTAATCAAGACCCTAAGGACCTTCCAAATAGGTGTCATTCGAAGACAGTTGACCGGCTCTAGTAATCATATCTCCTTCTGAAATCAGATCAAAATACGTTGCCTCTACTTGAACGGCGACTGGCTGCTCTGCACAATTCTTTTAGTCTCTTTGCGCATAAGTGACTATCGAATGGGATCCGATTTAACAAGATGACGTCAATTGTCTCACTGAGCGCCATGCCATCATCAAAAAGACCTCAGGGCCCCCAGAAACCTGTAGGTGAAACTTCGTTAGTTGCATTTTGCCCGTTCGCCGAGATTGGCAATTTGTTTGCAAACGTTTCATCTCCAGCCTAGGTGACATCATCAGTGCTTGTGAAGTGGCCACTTCTGTTTCCTCCTTCGCCAGTTATCACTTCTCGCTTTTGCTGGATGGAGCATGTAAACAGTGATTTGCTATGTGCTAATCAGATGTTACTCTTATCTGTTTTGTGCAATTGTTCTTTTCATTTTTACGAATTCAAAGAATAATAAGGATGCTTATGAATTGAATCAGGATCTTCATCCAGTGGTTGGGCTATATGTTTTTGCCGTAATTGAGACGGCTATACTACACCGTTATCGACGGGTGTCGTTCCTCGTTCGTGATGCGTTTTCATATATGTTCCATTCATCTCAATAATCGCACTTCGCTGTATTTTCCTCCCGCACCCCGCATCTATTGGTTACTTCTTTCATCGATCACCGTCCTCAACTGGGGTTGGGACCTTTGTAATCGGGTCTAGCCCAGAGAACAGCTACGTACCGTGGATGTCTTATTTAGTCCGAGTGTGCTGTATGTTCTCGTACCGCTTATAGTGGTCATGGTCCTTACGCGATTGATCAATACTAGTGATCCGGAACTACAAAAAGAATTGCAACAGATGAGTCGTCAACAAAAATTGCCTGATTGGGGTGAGGTGAGTGTACGCTGAGGTCTTTTGTGACAATTTTTTTACATCTGTTCAATAACAGCGCCAGTCCTCGTTTGATTTCATTTGTCTCCACTGTCATCCTTGTCTTCACAAAGCTGAATTTCTCCGTGACCGTTTATGTGATCTGATTGAATCGTTGTTCTCGAGTTACGCAACCTCAACCAGGCACGATCCTGTTTGATCATCAACTGGGAACGTTTGTGGTATTATTGTCAGTATTGTCGAGCTGTGCGATAAAGGCACCCTTGCTACGCACGGTGGTGATTCATTGGTCGTGCTAAAGACTCAGTAACAATAGATGCACCCGATACCGTTCCGCTGTTATCACAGAACCGCCACAACAAATTACCGAGTCTAATATGCGGTGGTCTAAATGGATGGTATGGCAATGCTCTACGGCCCATATGCTCTGTGCGCTAGATCCCTTGTTGCTAATCATAACTTAGTAGACTGTAAATCGTTAGTCGAGGGAATACATATAAGTAAAAAATTTTNAAAATTTTCATTTACTTTAAAGAAGTTTCTTAAAATGTCACCTTTTTGGTTATCCTACACAATATGACGACTGTTCTCTTCCACCAAGTAATGGAGTAGAGTAAGTCTTCCAGACTCCAAGTTGGGGTCCGAAAGACTGTAACTAGTTGGGTGTAGATACTGAAGGATGTGGCAACTAACCAACAGCAGTGGTGTTCTTACTGCCATTTCTGATCAGGTCAGAATGCTTGAAAAGGTGTACAGTACTGGCCAATTGTGATGCACTAAAGTATATTCTTTATGATCAAATGGAGTTTCATTATATTTATCACCCTTATTAATGCTTTAGTTATGTGCCATATTTTGTATGTTGTCTACTTCGATCTATGTAGTTTCTAGGCTGTATGAGTGTCAATTAAACGTGCCTGACCTTGAGTGCCAAGATTAAGTAATCTCAACTTTATCAAGTATCACAACGCAATATTTTCTAATAGGATTGACTCAAGAATTATCCTAAATTATTTCCACAAACCCTTACCATCTCGGTTCTTTGTTATAAGGCATTATTTTATCTAAAATAATCCATTATAGTAACTCCATTGGATAACCAAATGAAATTCTATCACAACACAAATTACGCAGCAAAGACAGGCTCTTATTGATTTTGCCCGAGAATTCAAATCTCGACGTGCGTCATTTTGGCGATCGGCTTATTGCGCAGATGAATGCATGGTGTACGACGAGCCTTGGAAGGCTAAAAAAAGTCGTTTGTGGTGAGAATTTCCCAAAAGGACTTATTCCACCAAATGAAAGAGTTGCTCATCCTTCGAGATTATTTATCTGGGCAGGGATAAAACATGGTCAGCCTTGTCGGTGGACATCAGTCAAGGGCACCATGAATACTTATAAATTTGCATCAGTAATGATAAAAATTTGTCCAAAATTTCATGAAAAAAATCATATGGAAAAGTTATCGTTTTTAAGGATAACGCTCCGTGTCATGTTTCACGAGAGGTTGGTAAATTTATTTAGTTAAGGATTCTGTTTCACTTATTATTTGCTTTTAGACTTGAGAAAAGGTGCGTGACTCCAGTTCATGCAACTTCCCCCTAATAGCCCGAATCTCAATGTGATTGAAAATCTGTCTTCTCTTTTGATGCGAGATGACAATGTGCTACCTGTGCATTAGACATTGGAGGCAAAGTGGAGCATAAAATAGAGAATGACTTCATATCAAAGTTGTTGAATTCGATGCCGAAGAAACTCGAAAAAGTCCTAAAGAACAAAGGCAGATCAATCGACTATTAGCGTACACAAACTTAACATCTTGCTTATTATCTATGTTAATTTGTTGTTAATGAAAACTGTTTTATTCTCTGTAGTTACCTCTTAACTCACCATGGTCTAGGTCAACCACTACTTACAAAATGGGAGTGTCCGCTACATCGTGAACCATTCCATCTGCTGAGTATAAACGAATCAGAAAAATCACGTTTATAAAGACTCACCAAGGCTTGTTTATTGTTATTTAGAAAAAAAATTACTTCGGTATAAATGCTGTTGCCTATACGAACCGACAAGTGTTTCACATGGACCCGTTGCTTCAGTTTCGATTAGACCTGTATATACACATTTAGGTTGTGCACTCTGTGTTGACCATGGAGGTTCACTTTCTTTGCCTACCTCCGATTAGTCCCAAACCCTATTCATCTTGTACTTTCCCACTTACTCTGTGTACACTGAGAGCTTGGCAACGAACAGTGAAGTTGACTTCGCTGTACTATGATGATGATGACCAAGGCGGATTCCGCCGTGATAAGGGCTGTGTAGATCACATTTGACATCCCTTGAATCATGGAACAATTTCCAGCAACCAACGACGATTCCCTTCATTGGTTTGGGTCTTAGACCAGAGCTGTTTCGACCTCGGCGATCCTAGCGTAAAACTCGATCACAGTCAACCGGGAGCCA